ATATTTTTTATGGGTAATCAATTTTAAGACCAATCACAAATGATTCACATATTATTACAAATTAAACACAATCGACCTTAACGGGTTAGAGAGATTTTATTTATTTAAAGTATGAAAGTATTTTTTTTGTATTTTAGTATTTGTAATTTAGTAGTATAGAAAGCAAATACAAATACCTCTTTTTCCATTTTGTAACAAATAAACGAAAATACAGTAACAAACAAAAATGCAACATTAAAAAATATATTTAAAATATTTCATCTGAAATCCTGGCCAGATCTGCGCCTGTACTGGTCATTCTTCTCTCAAAAAATGGGTTGACTATTAAAATCACCTCAAGACGTTATTTCACATGGTTTAAAAACAGTTATGTTAGCGAAAAAGAAATTTATTAGTGGATTATGAATTGAACATTACTGTAATTCAAAGGTCCGGCCTATCCATTACCTTCCGACCAAATCCAGGAAGTAGATCAAAAGAAATATTTTAAAATCCAAAATAAAATCTTTTTTTTTGGTATTTTGTATTTTAAGAAGTAAATCACGAAATACATATATTTAACTGTTTATTTGTACAAAACAAAATACAGAAAAAGTATTTGTAAAAAGAATAAATAAAAAGAATTTTATTTTGTATTTTAAATACAGAAAATAAATTACCGAATCTTAATTAAAAATGGTATCACTCTTAATAACCCCTGAAGAATTTTTGTTTGCACGAAGATTCCCCCTCTTGAAAATCGAGCTTAGAAATATGCTGAGCTTGGATCCACTAAATTTGTATTATCTTGTACCACATAATTGATTAGACTACAGAAATAATGTAGAACACCAGGTTCTTATCATAGAAAAGAGTAGTAGAGAATATTTTGTTAAATAAATATGTAATCTTATGTAAATAAATGGGGACAAAAACATGGCTTTTTTTCTTTAATAACCTTTTCAGTTCACACACACGCAATGTTGGTATTACAGACCTTGTGCCGCCTAAATCAGCCTTTCCCATCTCTGCCTATCTTGGAATATTTCTTTCCAGTTACCTGCATGCAGCTCTATTCCATCCTTGTTGATTCCATCTATGCATATGGTTTTTGGCCTTCCACGTTGCCTACTGCCTACTATTGAGGCATTTGTTGTAGTACACAGACTTTCTGAAGGATTGATTCGAGCTACATATCTTATTTATCTTAACCTCCTTGCCTTTGTTGTTTTTTTGCCTGATCCTAGTTCTTTTCGTTTATCGTGAGAAGTATTTTCCTCTGAAATCTCCCAAAATTTTTTCTTGTATATTGGTAAGAGGCCAAGACCCACATATTACAGCCCTATATTAGAACTGTTTTAATGTTTGCATTGCACATCCTTAATTTGTGATTCTTATTGATACTTCATATTCCAGAATTATTCTAAAGAATAAAGCTCTTTTATAATAGAAAAGTAACAAGTTCTTTTGCCTTCTATTGAAGCATTTTTATGTAGGTTTTTTTTATTTATTTTTTTATTAGTTTATCCTAGTGTCAAAAACAAAGCAATAGTACTTAAATTAATGATTTTATTGTTAATGTAGTGTGAAATGTTGTACACATAAACATGACCGGTTATTATGTATTTGTAAATTATAAATATCATTAAATAAACTTATTATTGAAGAATTCATTGATGTGTAAATGTTCCCAGATGGATTATTTCGAGCTACATGACTTATCCATCTTAAATCCCTTGCCTTCATATCAAGTGATATTGATTGACTAGTTTCTGGAAGCAGCTCTTCATTGGACTTTCTCCTCCTTGCTTTAGTATTCTGATCTCAGATCGCTCCGGTTATGGTGCGCAGTAGTTTTCTCTTAAATTTTTCAATACTTCTTTCTAGGGTGCTGATTGGGGTCCTGATCTCGAAGCCGTATACGAGCTTTATCATAGCATTGTAAATCCTTAATTTGAGATTTTCGGGTACCTTTGTAAGAGAGAAGAAATTTAAAAAAAATTGGTCTTTCATTGAAGTTATTGAGGAGGCAAGGTATTTGAATTGGTCTATTCTTGAGAATGATTTTCCTTCTAAGCAGATCCCGTCATTGGTGTGGGACTTTCGGCTTATCGTCATATATTTTGTTTTATTTTCATTTATTCGTAAGCCGATACTCATATTTTAAATATGCAAAATACTTGGTACTGTAGTTTAAAATAATAATTAAAATATTTTATATCCAGGTCTGTTAAATGATATTATTTTAATTCCGGCCTAAGTATTGGCTTCTGGCTACGAAACATTGCGCGATCGACTCCGAAATTAGCCTTGCCAATATTTCGCTACCTACGAAGATTAACAAACAATAGGATACCATAGGTGTTGGAAGAAATTGCTATGGCTGAGGCCTTTGACAGAAGGTTTAATTAGGGCTAAATAAGGTCATTGGGGTACAATGGGACGAATGGGCCGTAGGTGCGGCGGCGTGACGGCATCACGTAACGTGTTACGTAACGAGGGCGACGCGTCGTACTGGGACTTCCTCGCCGTGAAAGTACCCGTTACGTCAGAGGCTGCCAACCAGCCCTTCGACAGATGAAAAGCCTCACACGCTCGGTGGAAAGCTGTTTTTCCAACCCCTCAACCCAGTTTCAGTCGCTAAACTTACATAAGTCACTTTGAGAGTTTTTCTTAGAACTGTTTCATTACATTCACATTAGATAGCAGCTATATAGATTAAGCATGGATACATGGCATGTAAAATATGAGTATTGACTTTATCCCTTAATGAGATCTTAAATCAGGTCATTGATGAAACATATTTATTTTCAAACCATCTTTGAGTTATCATTGAGTGATTTAGGAATGATTTTTTTTCAGAAACAAATCAAGAATCCTATTATTATAGTTATCGCATACGTTTACCTCTAAATGATTTTTTATTAAGTTTCAAAATTCGCTCTAAAACCCTTGAAATAATTTACGAATTATGATAATAGTGGTTAAATAGTTGACTGTCGTGAATAATGAGGAGAAGAATAGTTGGGGTGATCAGTCAAATAAGAAGGCAAAAATAAATGATAATATTTATTTTGTCATTTGCCGACGTTTCGACCTGAAGTTCAGGCCATCATCAGGGCTAAGAAAAGAACCAGGTAACAAGGTATGAGAAACATAAAAATTACAGTAAAATGCAGTTGTTAGAATAATGACAAAAGTAAGAACAACAGATAAATAATAATAACTGGTACAAAGTGTGGAATGATGAAGTAATCATAGTCAAAAAGATGACATAAGTATTGAACTGGGAATCTTAGAAGAAAATGTTAGAATAAAATATTTTTCTGTTTTACACTGTTTTTGATTCTTTTTTTAGCCCTGATGATGGCCTGAACTTCAGGTCGAAACGTTGGCAAATGACAAAATAAATATTATCATTTCTTTTTGTCTTCTTATTTGACAGATCGCGCCAACTATTCTTCTCCTCTTTACGAATTATCATTTCAACACGACGTTTCAAAGATCTGACGAATACGGTGATATATTTACATAAACCAGCAGTACAACATGTGGTGGTGAGAAATATATATTAGTTTATTAGAGGCAGGTAGAGAGGAGAGTGGATAGTAATACTCTATTTCTCAATGTTGTTATAAAGTGAACAGCGATGAACCAATTAGCAAAGAATTCAGAAGCTGAGAAGAATAAAGAAACTTTCTGAGAACTAGTTATAAACAAGTTATTGCCATTGGAAACCAAAATAGGATTATTGGGGCTATTAACTCAGATTCTATCTGTAAAGGACTTTATGTTTCAAGGTTTAAAAATATTTTGTAGAATGTTAAATTAAACTATCCACAAATAAATACACATTATAAAAATATATTCAATAAAATCACAAATACTGTCTCGTAACCATACTTATCTAGATATGATACATCTTAAAAAATCTAAGAAATCATAATTAATTATCCTTTTTTTCAATTTCTTGATTAATCTGTATTGATGAATAAATAAATAATTAGAATGTACTACTTCCTTAAAGAAAAATACTTCCTACTTAAAACTTTTATTCTTTTATTTCCGAAGTTTAAATTGCTGTGAACCATCCATCCCATCTTGTTTACTAACTATATGAACTATAATTATAAAATTTATGTTAACAGTTAAATTATTTAATAACATATAAAGTGAATTCTTGTAATAAACTGCCTATATAATACTGAACTTAAATTTTATAAATAAAGTCCACATAGATACAATTATAATGTATAAATGATAAGAATTATCTACCTCAATATATGACCAATTGATAGAAATAGACAAGCTTATAACAAGCGCAAACAGAGCTTTCTTCTCTCTTTCAAAGGAATTGAAAACCCAAAAATTCTCAACAAATCTCTACTTAAGGGTGTAATATGCTATGATAAGATCAGTTCTGATACACAGTTACAAGACCTAGACCCTGCCTAGAAATCTAGAAAGAAGTATGAAAGATTTGAGATAAAATACCCCACTCCACAACCGGAGCTATCTGGGATCAGAGTACTAAGGCAGGGAGGAGAAGGACTAATGAAAAAAATATTTCAGGAATTGGACAATCAATATCTAATGATATGAAGGCAAGGATATTAAGATGCAGCTCGTAGCAATCCTTCCAATAAACTCTGTACAGAAATGAATAGTAGGCTAAAGTCTACACGCATGGCCAAAAATCAGATAATAAATCGAATTAACAAAGATACTGCAGAAAACCTGAACACAATAGTCTAAGATAGGTAGAAATGGAGAAAGCTGGTTAAGGAGACAAAAGATGAACAAGTTACTCGAAGAACGATGAAATAAAAAAAAACTATACATAAATTCGTAGTGATAAGGTTGAAGGTGGAAAATGGATCTCTGAAACGTTAAGAGGATGAAAGTGAGAATATCCATATGAATTTGTAAAGTGTAAAATTTTCAATCATGAATATCTTAGAAATATGAGAACCTTTTTTAAAGATTTCTTTGAAACCGTTACTGACAATTTTTTTTTCCAGATGCTGCTGAATACCGATGTCCGGAGAAGTACGGGCAGTTCGAGGACGCCAAGCAATGCGACAAGTTCTACGAGTGCGAAGAAGGAGTGGCCACCGAAAAGCTCTGTCCTGATGGATTAGTCTTCGATCCTCTCAACAGAAAAATCAACAAATGTGATCAACCTTTCAACGTTGACTGTGGTGACAGGATTGAGCTCCGTAAGAATATTTATATTTATTACTTATTCAACTATAATATTCCTATTTATCATACTATTAATAGTTTTTTTTTTTGTAAAATACAAATAATAATATTTAAATGTAATAATTATTCAATTAATACAAGTATCCAATTATAAGTTTACATAACCTATAAACAAATATCACACTTACTACACATACTTTTATATTATTATTTATTTTGTGTTGTTTGAAAAAAAAAAAAAATGAAGAAATAATTGATGGAGCCTTTCGAACAAATAAATTTAATGATATATTTCAAATAAATTGATTGAATATATTAAATTAAAAGCCTATAAAAGGTAGAGGCTATAAATAAATAAAACATTGACTAATTATTGTAACGAATTAAAACTTTGAAAAATATTATCACAGATTAGAAATAGAAAAATGTCAATGTCTCTATGGTTCATTCCCAGTGTAAAATTCAATCAAAAATTATAAATGTATTTAAGCAACAAAAAAGAAATTTAAAGCTCCAAAATAACATAAAACCAAAAATAGAAAACAAGAAAAAAAATACAATTTTTTATGTCCTATTTCAAAATTTAATATAAAACTCTAGTTATAATATAATTAATGACTATCAAGTACAATTGGTAATTATGTAAATCAATAAAAAATATTATGCCGTGGCACAGACCTCTTTTTATCGAATTATTAACATCCGCCTGAAACTTCGAAAATAGTTTCATCTCACCGTAACCTAAAACTATTTTATTTTTGAGAACTCTTGGAATAAGGGCGTTTTCAATCTAGAGTGGGGCAAACTTTACCGATCCCTTTCATCTTTGTTGATTCCACCTATACATCTGGTGTGTTCCATGTTGTTTCTTGCCCACTATTGAGCCATTCCTTGTTGATTCTCCTGGTGGATGGGCTCCAAGCTACATACACCATCCATCTTAACTTCCTTGTTTTCAAATAATGGATATTGATTGACCAACTTTTTAATTAGTAGTTCTTCATTCGTCCTTCTCCATGCAGTCCTATATGTATGCCACTTATTTCACTACTACTTACTGTATATTTATGTTTACTTTCTCTTATTACTTTATTTGTGATTCTCCAGTCCAGTATATATGTCATATTGTTATTTATAATTACTATTTCTTATTTATTTATAAATATATATATATATTTTTTAATTATCTAAATATATTTCTCTTTTGTTTGTATTCATTTAATATTTATATACCTAACACTTGTTGCTCTTCCGTGGTACAGACCCCTTTTAATGAAAAAGTACCTGAAACTTCGTAGTTTCATCTCATCGTAACCTACCTACCTACCTACCTATTTTATTTTTGAGAACTCTTGGAATAAGGGCGTTTTCAATCTAGAGTGGGGCAAACTTTACCGATTTAATTAGGTACTATAAACTCGTAAATACCCATTTGCTTTCTACTTGGATCGTAAGATAATTTAATCTCAAAATCGATAAAAAAAAAGTGGCGTTCAAAAATATTGAGCCGTTTGGTGTCACCTGCACCCCCAAATTTTCAAAATAACGAGGTTATATAGAAAAAATGGCTCAATATTTTTGTAGAGAACTTTTTTTATCGATTTTGTGATCAAATTATGTTAAGATTGAAATAGAAAGGAAATCGTTATTTACGAGTTTTTAGTAACAAATTAAATAGATAAAGTTTGCGCCCCTTCGGATTGAAAACGCCTCAATTCCATGAGTTTTCGTAAATAAAATAGTTGTAGATTATGGAGAGAAGAAACAATTTACGAAGTTTCAGGCGGATGTTAATAATTCGATAAAAAAGGGGTCTGTACCACGGGCTATAACGTTAGACCAAAATTGTGCAATTCGAAAATTATTTTATTTTTAAATATTATGTCAAAACGGTTGATATTTAATTAAAATATTAGAAGTTACAGCCTAAAACTTGATACCTTTGACGCCAATGGCTTATAAATCTAAAATACTTAATAAATGAAAATTCTAGATAGTAAAAATGTAATAATTATTATAATATTTTAGATTTGTTTTCATACCTAGCCATTACGTACAGTACTCATATATATAGTTTATCTTTCGCAAAGTAATTTTTATTCACTTCTTAATATTTATTTATTAGTAGATAACATAATCTGTTTTTTTTAAATCTTTTTTTCTTTCCTATATATCAGTAATAACTTTTGTTTGGTCCTTGATAACGACCAAAAAATTCGGCAAAAACGTCGCTATAAAGGAAATATTTTTTCATTATGACTCTGACACTAACAATCCTTCCTGCCCTACTTGGAATACCTACATAAACCGGACAGGAAATGCAAAAAATCAAAGATGTCTAGGAATTAAATTCAATAATTTTAGTTTAGTGTTATATTCAATAGTCATACGTTTAGTGAATAATAAATACATTATATAAAACTGTTTCAGAACCACCGAAGTCAAACCACTTGTGCCCGAGAAGAAACGGCTACTTCGCACACCCCGATGAGTCGGTCTGTCACATATTCTACAACTGTATTGAAGGAGAAGCCACCGAAATAACATGCCCGACTGGTCTCCACTTCGACGAGTACTCTGGTACCTGTGTTTGGCCCGAATCTGCTGGGAGGAGCAACTGCGGGCAGACTGAAACTAGTGAGTAAAATAAATCGATTCAAATCAGCAAGAAGTAACGACAAAATGAAAGTAATTGCGCCAAATTTAGGAAACTGTATTTAGTAGGTAATGAAACAATGAGACAACTGAATATGATTTTTTCGAAACGTCTGGGAAATGTATGTTCTAAAAAACTATGTAAAAATTATTATTATATATATATATATATATATATATATATATATATATATATATATATATAACAATAATAAACTAAAACAAATTACAAGATTGAAATACTGAATTTGACTAAGGATTCGAACAAAAAATCATAGCGGTCTTATATAGAGAAAGGATCCACTCTAAATGGGATAATTGTTTATAAAACAGTAGATAATTAATGAATTAAGAGTCTTTTTCCTTTAATCTTTTTTTTTATTATTGAAATTTACAACCATATTAAATTATAAATACAATAAGTAAATATGAAACAAGTAACATGACATGTACAACGTAAAGAGAAACTATCCATTGGTAGCACTCCAATTATATTTGTAAATTAGAAGGTCTCGGGATCATCTTCTTTTCAGACGCCTCTAAGAAAGATCAGGGATAGAAGAGGAAGCAAGGCTGGAAACAAGAGGGTTCAGAAGTTTATTATGGAAGGATAGATATCTGGATTGAGCTAAATCGGAAACATATGGCACGTTAAGGGTCGTTATGGATGATTTTATTTGTGACAAAGTAGGGAGCATTGAGGATTTTACAAATGGATTGTGGGGATTGGATACGAGAGGAATTGGACGGTTAAGTAGAGGCCCAAAGCTCAATCTCGTAAGTCCAAATTGGCCTTATTATAATAATATATATGAGTTTTTTGTAAATAGTTTAAAGTGTAGAGCGTTTGTCTAGTAAGTGCTGCAGTAGTAGAAAACGTCGGGCGGTTTCTAGTCGTTTCAGTCTAGTATGAGGGTTCCTTTAATCTAAAAACATTATTTATTTAAATAAAATATAACAATCATAATAACTGGCATATAACCTTTTTTTTATAAATAAGTATTTTTGTAATCTCCTATACTTACAGCCGAATATTATTAGTTTTCTTTAGGAGTGAATAGCTGCCTTTAAGGAGCTAGTGGAATTCAGTGGAACCATATTGTACAATGAAAGTAAAAAACTATCAAAGATTATTTAATTTTTTTATTAAGGTTTTCAATATTTGATTTAATATCTGTAGGTCGTCTCATTACCAAAAACAAACTGCTCCTCTTTACTGTTAAGTAAAATAAACCACTCAGAACTCAATTTACACTCATTTAAATAAAAACATGTTACCTTGTTTTGACTGCGATATTTTCTAATATCTTCATTGATGTTTGAAATAGTTACAATGCAACGATTACGCAATTCTATTGGAAAAGAAATTGCTATTTAGTAAAATAAATTTTAAGATAGAAGCTCCTTCAAAATACTACGTTTGCCAAGTAGATCAGTCTTGCGGGTTAGTGTGATTTTATTTTTAGCAACACACTTAAATCTACTTTTAGATTACTGACTTTGAAATTCATTGTTACATTAAAAAATTAATTGTAATATTTATTTCAATCATTATTTCTATATTAAAAAACCTGACAGAAACTTAACCAAACATTTTCTGCCAAGGAATTCAATAATAATGCAAAGACAAGGATGAGGGAGAGTTGTGCCCAGTGACACCTCTTCCTATTTTGAATTCACAATTTATATTTAGGCGAGATCTCCCATCCAGGTTCTTATTATATGGATTTATAAGTTTTGCAAGGTAATGTTATATAGGATCAATAAGTCTATAATGTGTGGATAAGATTTTAATTTCTTGTCGAGAGTGTCTTAATGTCTGCATAAGACTATGTCAGAGGATCAGAACTGTTTACAACATCCTGAATATATTTATATGATAATTGAGAGAGTAACGATACCTTAAGCTTTCCTTTTATTGAATATGATATATTTTTATAACTGTATTATAAAATATATTTGATCACTGTATATTTACGGAAGAAAAAATTAAAATCAAGCTTTTCTAAACAATACCTATTAATTCCGAAGGACGATAAAAAAAAATAACAAATCAAAAGTTTATTTTATAGAAATACGGAAAATATTTAATGAATATCATCTTTTTTCAGTCAAGCTGAAGGATGGGTTCTCTTGCCCTAAGGCCCAGCAAGCCAACGCTCATGGACAGACAGTTGCACACCCCGTCTTTGCCCACCCGGATGACTGCCAGAAGTTCTATGTCTGCCTCAACGGTGTCACTCCCAGAGAACAAGGATGCGGTTCCAGCGAAGTATACAACGAGGAGTCACAGAAGTGCGACCAACCAGAGAACGTTCCCGGATGGTAAGTTACCAACAATTATTGTACAATTAATAGTTTAAAACATATGCATATAGGTAGATTATCTAGGGAATATATTCTTGATTTCTTTTAAAACAAAATCTAATGTCAGATAGTTAAATGATTTAAAAATTAATAAAATCACCCCTTTTATAAGGCTCCATTGGCAAGTTGGACTTGAGGAGATATATTTTTCATGATCGAATAAATATTTTTTATGTCAATTCACACGGTTTTTGCTAACCAATGTTTGTGATAAGTGCAATTAAAAAAAAACATTTTGTGCACCTTCTGTAGGTCCGATAAGTTTTTTTTTTTTTTAATTTTGTTATAACTTGAATGTTTTTCATTGTTATATTAATCATATTTAATTAAGCATTTGTAATGTTCAAGAAGATTTTTAGTATTAGAGTTATTTCATGAACGAAAGAAAAGTTATGCGGGTTTCCATGGGAACCTGAAAAACAAAATTTAACAATACTTTGAAAAATAAATCTCTATCAATACAAAAATCAATATTCTGTATCTTTGCTAATACTAGCCCAATTTAAAATATTATTTATTTTTGCGTGGAATTTTATTACTTTTCACATGGTACCAGAAAATCCCTCTTATCATCAAAATTATTAGAGCCTTTTTGGAGCTAAAATCTATTAGAAAAAAACAATTGAAGAAATTTGCACACCTAAATAACCAATAAGAGGCAATCATGGTTCAGAAGCACAGACCAATGCGTTTTTTTGTTGTTTTTTTTTTCTGAAAAGGCATTTTTTGGATTCAGGAGGCTCCGAAATATATAGAACTATTGAAAACTTCACATTGAAAATTTTTCATGATTACAATAATATTCTTATTTATTTGCGGTAATAAGTTTTAACAATTGAAAACATTAATTAAGAAATTAGTTATCAATAAAAAGCATCTACAGTGGAAAACACAAAATTATTTCCATAAAGCCATAATTTTATTATAATTTCTAATTATAATAAAGCTGAACATTTATTATAAATTATAAACAAACAAAAAAATTAATCACCAAAGAACCATCTTGTTGTCAATTATATAAACATTAAATTTCTTCAGGGGTTTTCGTTTATTTTTATTTGTAAGATTTTATTTTTATTTGTTAATATATCGCTGTTGAAATTACTGTACATATTGTTAGAATTTTTGTTTATAAGATCGTTATTTGCCAGATATATATTTTTTTTAATTTGTAAATTATTGCTAGGCTTAAGGAGCCTTGTCTTATATTAAGTTTATTTTCTATGATTCCATCTGTCTAAAATACGCGATGCATTTCTTCTAAGGAAGACAAATAGCTTTTATAGTTTTAGCAATTCATTAGAACGGAAAAGGTTGCCTTTGAAATGGAAAGGGTTGCATTTGAATTGCAAAAGATTACATTCGAATTGGAAAGGTTTTTGAATTGCAAACAGTTACATTGTAAACAGAAAGGCTTACAGTTGAACCGGTAACCGGTTACGGTTGAAGGTTACGTATGATTTGGAGATGTTACATAAATAAATAAAAAATACTAATCATGTTATTTGCGCAATATTTGTTTGGATTCGCGAAAAGCTTCCATAAATCGAATAGGGTATGATATCCAAAACCAAAATAAAATATATATATTCATAATTATAAAAATTCGTATCTTGATTAAAATGGTTGATTTTTAGATATTTGATTACACATAATTATTTACCACCGTAGATCAAATCAATACAATATTACATATTGAAAGTGACATATAACATTATATATATATATATATATATATATATATATATATATATATATATATATATATATATATATATATATTTATTTATTTATTGTTAACTGATTGTTTTTGGTTTTATAGTGAGGACTGGTTCAAGGATACCCCAAGCGCAGGAGACAAGAAGCGTTCAAGGAGGCGATAGATAGAAAATGCTCAATCTCAAGACTGTTGTCCGTCTCATAAGAAAATTTCATCCAGTATAATATTTATGTAACTTTCATCAGTGGCTGATGGCTGAAGATGTGGAAACCATGAACATTTTAAATAAATTCAGACTGTAAATTATTCCATATCGGTCGATCAAGACCGAATAAATATGGAAATTAAGTTCGAGAATATCCGTCCCAAAAAAAAAAAGTATCGAAAACGTACAAAAACTCATTTCATAAATTTAAATACGACTTAAAATAATGACAAATGCTCAAATTATAAAGCATGTCGTATATCTCAAAACATTTTTTAAAGTAAGCAAATAGAATATCGTGATTCTCATTTCCACAATTATGTTCCATGCTGTGTATTATATATTTGTCTGTTATATGTTATAGAAAATAGTTTTACAAATGTATTTATTAAAGTTCTGAAAGGCAGAATTATGCGCTGTGTATATTACAAAAAGTATCGACTCATCAGTGTATTATTAATAAATGTTGTAAAATTAATTGAATAATAGTTGTAATAAAATATTATTTTTAAAAAAAGTCATGTTCAACTAATTGCTCATCATTATCACAATCCTATCTCGATTCTCCAATGTGTTACAGTTATCATAATTCCCTTCCAATCATTGACGGATCCAGCATTTAATATTGGGGAGGGCTTCATACTTAAATCTTTTAAAATTCATAATATATATATATATATATATATATATATATATATATATATATATATATATATATATATATATATATATATTATGATGATTACTGTGGAAGAAAAAGAAAGAAACTAACTACCTATATAAAATGGTGTTTAAGTGATTCATGAGGTCCTATTAAATGTAATCAGACGAATAATAATACCTTTATATTTTTTTCATAAAGCATGGTCGTAATTTACAATTTTGGGGAAGGCTTCAGCCCGAAAGCCCCTCCTCTCTGTAGATCCGCATATTGTTTCAATATATGTAACTACAAAAGCAATTCAGCTGCATTAAATGAAAGTTTTAAATAAAAGTTAAAAGTAACGAAGAGATAAACTGTTATTAAAACGTTGGAACTTAAAACGAAAAATGTAACTAGATTATAAGAAGAAATAAAGGGTACGAAGTCTCAGATGTTCTACGACAAAGAGATTTAGAGAATATAATATTAAAAATATACCTATCTTTTAAAAAACACACCTACTCTTTAGAATTAAATAATTTAATTAACTAAAGTAATTTTATAAGTTTTAGTAATATTTAAATATTAGTCAATATATGCGGTAAAAATAGCTATAATTAAGCATGCAGTTGTACTCACGTGTTCACAATGCAGGTCATTAAACTCCCCAACTCCTTCATAATTTTACTTATCTAGTTTGAATAATCTTATAATTTTAATATTAAATAATAACCCTTATAAAATTGAAATTACCCTTATAAATTAGCAATAAAATTTTAAATGTATACAAATTAATTATATGTACTTTTTTCATTTATGATAATGCTACTACTTTCAATTTATGTAATTATATAATTTTCTTTCTGTTGTATAAAAATAATCTAAAAATTGTAAGCAGGAAAAAAATTAACAAAATGAAATTCCAATATTTAAATAATTTTATATATTTATTTGATCTTCAATATAATTGCGCACATGAAAGGAGTTGGGCCGCTGAAAATAAATCCTGAAATATGCCATTACTCTCACATTAAAATAAATTTAATATAAGCTAATTATAATTTAATTAAATAATAATATATTTTTATAAAACATGAATAAATTAAATCATTAGCATAAATAACTTAAATGTGTTGTATTTATTAATAAGTTAAACATTGATTTATATTTACATATAAATAAGTTTAATTGCTAGGCAAATATGATTAAAGCGAAAATTGATTAAATGAAATGTTGATAAAAGTAATTTAATAATGTGAGAGAGGAGGCAGCCACTGCAGGCATATTAAAATAAATTAGGTTATTCCAAGAACATGCAACTAATATCACAAATTATACTGAAGAAAAAAAAAACATGCATTATAAAAAATGGGTCAAAGTACTAGCTCAAACATTAATTAAGTTTTGATATATTTGAATTATTTTAACTTTATATATCTCATGTTATTGATGTTTGGTTAGAGGTTCTTTTATGTATAGATCTTCGGGTAATCTTGGATAGTAAACGATTTCATAAACTGCCTGAATATATTCAAGAGAATCAAATATTAAATGTGATAAAAAAAATTATATTAATAATATATAAATTGTCACTTTTCTCAATAAATATTTGGATTTCCATTTTATGTTATTTTTAGTAAAGTTCATTCATACGAAAACATAAATTGTAACCTTTAAACTAAAATAAATTCTAAAAAGATATATCAACTTAATAATATTTGAGATGGACCACAATACGTGACCTTATGAACTACTTACACTAACCTGGAGGCTTCTCTTCTCGAAGAGAATACCTAAAATAACAAAGAAAAAACAATTCGTATTTAAATGTTTTAAAAAAAAACACACAAAAATAACAATGTATTAAAAATAATAACAAAGATATTTAGATATTATCACAAATGGAGAATTTTCATTTTATTGAAGCAAAAATATATTTTTTTGTATAAAATGTTCATTTTTTTAATGGAAGCATCATTCATTCTATATAAAATCACTTGAACTGCTTATTTCTAATTTATATATTTTTTTGTACTTTGTGGTAGTTACACTCACTAGATAAATTACACCTATATTTTTTACTTTCCTTGATTTAGATATATCGATTCTTAAAAATTGCCGGAACATCCGCATTACAATATGCTTTTAGTCACAAAAATGCTATTAAATTTATAATCGATGGTGCTGTGGTGACTGATAGCTTTTTTAAAATCTTATACTACGGGTTTTCATTTGTTGTCTCATGTCTAATGTACCGACTTGTGACATAATTTTTATTGCAGGAAAATAATTCTTTATGCAATCATACAACATTTTAACAAGATAAAATGCCTCATATCATTCAATAAATATTTTTTCTTGAACAATAGATGAATACACAAAATTTTATGTAAAAAGTAGGTAAACCTTTCTTTTTAAATGATGGGTACTATATCACCCTTTTTAAATATAAATCTTGTTTGTTCGTTTCATTCATTACACATATCATTTCTCCATCTTAATATTTACATGATAGTGTATATAGGTATGCTTGCATTTATTTTTTTCACTCCCTTTTTTTATTACTTTATTTATTTAAGTTTCTGTATATACGGTGTGAATGTACTCTCTGAACTATAAGTGTCCTTAACTGAGACAGATTAAAATACTTCTCAATAAAAAATAAATAAAAAAATATTTACATGAAATTGTCATTTTTTTTTTCTAGAAAAGCAAAACGATTAAAGTAACATATTTTAATTTCAAAATGTCTTGAAATTGTTAATGTTTAAAGATTTGTTTGTTAAATATTACATGAAAGCTCTTGTAAACAAGTAGTCAAGTCAACAAAGGAATTGTAGAGTCCATGGAGGATGGACTTGAGGAATTAGTTGGGAGTACTTAAGAGGTAAAAAACCATACTAGATGTAGCGATGTACCCGACTCTATTCCTTCTACTTCATAGTGGGCGGGGCAACGTAACGTACGTTTTCTTTAAATGCATATATCCTTCACTAATTTATTTTTAATGAGTCCAAAGCTATGAAAATTTTAAATATCCTGCTAAATTTCGTTAATGCATATAGAAAACTGTAATTTTTATATTTTTGAGCATGAATGTTCACCAGTACACATGAGGGAGTATAGTATACACTAATAAATCACATAAAGATAGATATATATACAATTAAAAGTGCAATAACCACATGCTTGCTGTTGTTCATTACGTTTTATGACATCCGGTCCAGCTGTACCAAATGAAACCACTTTTTGTCCCATTTTCGTTCATGGTATAATGAATCTGTATTTGATTGTAATGAAAACATATTTATTTATAAATATTATTTATAATTATTATACAAAGTAACATAATTTATTTCTATCTTCTAAGAGACACAGGTTATAGTATAATAAAACATACAACATTTTGAAAAAAATTGGAGGAAAGAATTTTGTGAATAATTGTATCTCATGAATATGATTTATATCAAATATTACTATTATTAAACTTGAGGTTTGCCCCCATAACTAATTATTAAATTAATAGTACCCTATTTATAGAGGCTGGGTGTGCCTCAGGAGGGTCTCCCGACACCAAGGTAGATCCACAGCTGATGAAAAACTACTAGTCATCAGCCAGATTCGAAGATACTGAGCTAATCCCGCTCCCATTATGCGTTAATGTTGAAATTAAAATGAAGAAATGGAAAGTGTTGGGGTTTTGGAAATGACAATCTGAAAGTTTATTTCAATAAATTTAAAACTGGAGAGAAAAGTTATCGAACAACAAAATTTGTACAAATTTATTATTTAAACCATAGATTACAAAATACATGAACTGATGAAAATATTAAAATAGAAATTAAGTAGGCCTGTCTCTTTTGAAACGAGAGAGTTCAGCAACGACTCCAACACTTTCCATTATTTTCTTTTAGAACCATGAAGCTGAAGGGGTGGAGTCGGAGACTTTCAGTATGTTTACCTCCTAAGTACTCCCAACAAAGTCCCAAAGTCAATTGCTCGTCCATCCTCCATGAACTCTAAAACACCTTTTTGCCATTCATTGACTGGACTAAAGCTCCATAATTATTAGCCAAACATCCCTCTCACATTACCGGTTGTAAATCGGGATACTTTTGTGACTAAAAACATTTTAAGAGTCAGATGCTTATTAAAAAAACTAATCAATAAAAAATGTTTAAAAATAGATTTTTAATGTACTATCATATACATTAAAATAACAAAAATCATGTTAAGCGAAAACATGAAAGTTCAAAATTTATTTTTCAGTGACAGATTTGACATGGAATGGACTCACAATAATAATTATACTAAT